TGATGATGATGATGATGATAATGGAGATGTTGGTGATGAGCGCGTTGATAAATAAGTTGAAGAGACGATTTATCATAATCATTGAATTGTTGATGAAATTTTTGTTGTTGTTATTTAAACTGATGTTGTTTTATTTTTGTTCGAATTGATGATAAGGCTCTTAGCCATACTGTTAACATGGATGTTTGGTTAATTATTATTGTTGTTGTTGTTGTTGTTGTTTTTGTTGTTGTTGTGGTTCACTTCCCAGTTAAGTTTCCCACCAACGTGCAAAAAGTATCAATGAATAATTTAACAGCAATAGAGGGTGGTGTGGTCAGTTTTTCCAGCCTTCCCTTCAAATCGTATCTGATTCTCAGATCCGTCAGCTGTTTGAATCGGGTCAACAGATGTTCCATATCTTCCACTTTTGTCCCACACAGTCTGCATGCTGCTTCATCACTGAGGCCGATTCTATGCATATAGTTTTTCAATTCCAGGCGATGTCCTCTGCTGAAGCAACTGAGATTAGTACGCTCTGATTTGTTGAGAGACTCTTCCACCTCCAGCAGGGGTCGATCGTATGCCGCTTTACACCTCGGATGAGAGATTTCCTTGTGTTCACATTGATCCTCAGATATCAACTGTAGCATCTTTTTTGACTTGCAACCCTCTTGCCCCCCGCGTGTCGAGAAAGTTTTCCTTCTTCATCTGCCTTATCCTGACCGGTAATTCCACGGTGACCGGGTATTCATGCTGAGACTACTTTGTTTTCATTCTTGGTCAATTCGTTCAGATCTTTAGCTAATAGTTCTATCCCGTGATTTCCAGTGTCGTATTTCTTTAACATGTTGATAACAGTTTTACCGCCGATGAGGATCGCGACTGATTTCCACTCTTAATTTTCTTTCAACCACTTTCCAGCTTTCATCAGAGCAGCCAGTTCTGCTTCATAACTGCTGCCCTATTCTCTTGCACTGATCCCGTAACTACTTATCAGAGAATGTTTGTTGAAAACTGCAATGCCTGCCTGCTCCACCAATCTTCGTACCTGGGTCAGCAGAACCATTCGCATCCACGTGAACCTGCACATCCGACTTCAGAGCTGTACTCGTGGTCTCATTCACGTACGCCAGTCGGTCATTATCTCCTTTGGATATTTTGATGTTTGGTTTTGTAAGATTCCATGGCGGTTGATACTCATCATCTTTCATTTGTTTATTTTTGGCAGGTAGTTGATTTACTTTTTGCAGTACTGGACTGTAGCAAGATTGACGAAAATTAGTATTTTTAAGGCGTAACTTTGTCGTCTGATCTGCCAAGTTTTTACCCTCGTCCTCTTGACCACAGTTGTACCACCTTATTGTTGTCCTTGTACAAATATTTTCCATCTACTATATTATGGTGAGAGGTTTGCTTTACAAAACACAACTTTTTTGGATGTGCTACGAAACATTCTTGAAATCAGTCTAGTTGCTTTCATTTGAGCTGTTTCCAAT